ATGATTGTAAAATTACAATTATAATCTATTAAAAATAGGAAGTAGTTCTATATAATAAAGAAGTACAAACTGCAGAAAATTCTTTTGGACCTCCAGTACCAAATGAAGAAGAAATTAGACTAGAAATATTAAAAGAATTGGAAGAGAAAAAGAAGATCGAAGAAGCATCATTAGAAGATGCAAAATTAAGACTTGAAGAAGAGAAGGCTAATTCACAAAATTTTAAGGGTAAATAAGAAATTCGCTATTTTTATTTTTTAATTTTCACATGAAGACCTAATCATTCATTCATTTATTTTTCTATAGATTTGTCTGAAGTGGAAAGAAAGAAAGTTTATAATTCAGCAGAGTTTATAGATTTTATTGATCACACAACAAAAATTGTTGAGAGGGCACTTAATGAAAATTACGACTTTATGAAAGACTATACCATTAGTGGAAAAGAAGAAAGGCAAGTCACTAAAGTTTAAATGTTACAATGAATCGTTACAATTATTTCGTTGTAATAATTTTCTTTTTCTCCTTTATTTTTTTGTTATTAGTGATGGAAGATCTGGATCATATGTTAAATTTTTATGTTCTTTTTTTGATGACCGGTGGAGTAAAAATCGATCAGTAACTGATGTTAATTGGTCGCATAAAGTAATTCATCAATTTCTAATATTAACACGACTATTTGAAATATATAATTTAAATTTAAATTTAACACAATGGACGAATTAACGAATAATTCTATTTTATCTTTATTTATTTATTTTGTTTAAAAAAAAAAAAAAAGAATGCTGAATTATGTGTTACTTCATACAACAAAAATCCTATGGCAATGAATGAACCTGATGGTGTTGTTTTAGTTTGGAATTTACATTTAATAGAACGTCCAGAATTTGTGTTTCATTCTCAGGTTTGGTTTTTATTCTTTATAATGATTAATTTTTTTTAATAGAAACGGTTAAATAAAATTTTTAATTTTATAGTCTGACGTCCTCACAACAATGTTTTCAGAATTTCATCCAACTCTTATAGTTGGAGGCACATATTCAGGTCAAATAGTGCTTTGGGATATGAGGGCAAAATCTTTACCTGTCCATAAAACACCACTTTCTGCTGCTGGACACACACATCCGGTTTATTCTATGCAAATGGTTGGAACTCAAAATGCACATAATCTACTTACTGCAAGTACAGATGGTTTAGTCTGTTCTTGGCAATTAGATACGTTAACTCAACCTCAAGCAAGTTATCATCACGAATTTTGTTGTTGTTGTTGTTGTTAATATCATATCATTAATTATAATATTTTGGTGCATTTTAGGAAACTTTGGAATTAGTTCATACCGATCACAGTAAAACTAACGAAGTTTCTATTACTTCACTTGGTTTTCCAGATAATGAAACAGCTGCATTTTTTGTTGGTACAGAAGAAGGCAATCTTTACCAAGCAAATCGATATGGACGTGCTGGAGGGTTAGTACGACTATTGGACAATATTCTTAAGATTCTATTTATTTCATTATAATGAATAAATATGTTATATGATTTTATTAATTTATATTAATGAATTTTTAGAAAAGCTGGTATAAATCCTTACGATACTTATAAAGGTCATTGGGGACCAATTACAGGTCTTCACTTTCATCCTTTAGTTGGACCTGTAGATTTTTCAGATATGTTTTTAACTTCATCGGTTGATTGGACTGTGAAATTATGGAGAGCTAAAGTAATATACACTATTGAATTATTATTTTTATCGAGTTTATTCATTATTATATATTTAATAGATAAAATTTTAACTATATATTAGTCAATTTCAAAACCTTCACATTCACCACAAACCATTGCGCCAATTTATTCATTTGAAGGTGCAGATGATTATGTTTATGATGTCAAATGGTCACCTACACATCCAGCTCTTTTTGGTTCAGTTGATGGCACAGGGAAATTTTCTGTTTGGAATTTAAATGATGAAACTGAGGTAATGATGATTGATATTATCCTATTCTTATGTTATAATTATTGAATTATTTTAATAATATTTCAATATTAGGTGCCGATTGCAAGTACGCAAGTTGGACAGGGACGAGCATTAAATAAATTGTGTTGGGATAAAGAAGGTAAAAAAGCAGCAATCGGATCATCAGACGGACGTGTGCATATTTACGACATTGGCGAGGTATTTATTATAGTTGACATTTTAAACATCTTAAAAAATATTATTGTTAAATCAAGAATTATTTTTACAATAAATCTTTATTTCTAGTTGCACCATCCTAGAGATGATGAATGGAATCGTCTACAAAGAACAATATCAGAAATGATTGATACTACTGCAGATAGACATCATGGAAAACATGCAATATCTAAATAATGATATTAACAAAAGTAATAATACTATTTAGTACTAAAATAATATTTACCCTTAATGAATTTAATAATGTATTACTATTCTTATTATTTTTATCATTATTATAATTAATATATATATAATTCGTCATACATTTTATTATTACTATTAATTACTGTTGTATTAATTATTTTAATGTAACATCATGGACAATTATAATTAATTGAACTGGTATGTAAGACATCATATAAATAGTTGTAAAATTTACCTCGAATATCTCACTAAAAATGGCGAGTAGTTTTCCTTTTTGGTTCTTTTAAAAAATCAAGGGTGTCTTTCTCTTGCCCTCATTTCCACACGCACATTATTTGCCTAGTAGTACTACTACTAGGTACTGTAGATAATTAAGATCAAAACCTCGGGTTCAACCGGTTTGGGCTGAGCTATTCTCATCCCTAACCGGGATTGAATACCCTGAAATCTTTGTGGGCTGATATTTTCTTCTTTTCATTTTATACAAATATATATATATATTAATAATATATTTAAAATGGTAGAACTTTCAGGCTCCATCAAAGAACAAGCTAAAATAACTTTTCAATATCAAGATAAACTTCCAAAATTACCTATACCTCCTTTAGAAGAGACACTTGAACGATACCTTTCTACTATTAAACCACTTCAGGTATGTTATGTTAAGATTACAATAAACATAAAAACATTACAATGCTTATGTTCTTTTTTTTTTGCCTGAAAAATAAAAAATAATTATGTTGTATATAATAGAGAGAAAAGGATCATCAACAATCCATTGAAGTAGTTCAACAATTCCTTCAAAATGAAGGTCCTCTACTTCAAGAAAATCTTAAAAAATATGAATCAGATAAATCAAGTTATATAGAAGAATTTTGGTATGATTCCTACCTTAACTATACTGATTCTGTAGTATTAAATCTAAATCCATTTTTTGTCTTGGAAGATGATCCAACTCCTGATAGAAATGATCAAATTATGAGAGCTGCTTCATTGATTCTTTCCTCATTAACATTTATTAATGCTTTGAGAACAGAAACCCTTAAGCCTGATTTATTCAGGGGCACCCCTCTTTGTATGTCTCAGTTTCAACGGTTATTTGGTACAGCTCGTTTGCCAACTGAAACTGGATGTAAAATGCACAATGATCCTAATTCTCATCATATCATTGTATTATGTCGTGGTCAATTCTATTGGTTTGATGTTTTAAATCAAAATAATGAAGTTGGTATTAATGAAAAAGCTTTAATTGCAAATCTTAAAACAATAAAACAAGATGCTCTTGAAGTACCTACTGTGGAGATTGCAAAACATGCTATTGGAATTCTATCTACTGAAAATCGTCGTAGATGGGCACACTTGAGAAATATTTTGGAAAATTCTTCTGAAAACAACAGGAAGGGTTTAAAGTTACTTGATACAGCTTTATTTGTTGTTTGTTTGGATGAAGGAAGTCCCTTGTCTGGTGATGAGGTTGCTACAAATATGCTTTGTGGAACTTATGATATCAAAGAGGGTGTACAGGTTGGTACTTGTGCCAATCGTTGGTATGATAAATTACAAATAATAGTATGTGAAAATGGTTCAGCTGGTGTTAATTTTGAACATACTGGTAAGTTATATTATTGAGGTGATCTTTTAATTTAAAAGTTATATAATATTATTAATATTTGTCATTAATCAAATTTTACATTTGTATATGCATGAACAAATAAAGGTGTTGATGGTCATACTGTTCTACGCTTTGTATCAGACATATTCACTGACACAATTTACCGTTTTGCGGATAATAATAATAAATTCTATTAAATAATATTTTTTTTTCAAAAAAATTTAGATTACGTTTTTAAAACTCTTAATAAATTAATTAAAGAGACATGTCAGCAATCATTGACATGTTCTCCTTCATAAAAAAATGTCTCCACCACAAACGAAAGAAGCGCAGGAACTAGAATTGCAAGGATTTCGTTCTCTATTTATATCGATTTGAATTCAAAATCTTCTTTAACAATAAATGAATCAGTTTTTATTATTGTTTTATTAATAACAGGTTGGTACTTGTGCCAATCGTTGGTATGATAAATTACAAATAATAGTATGTGAAAATGGTTCAGCTGGTGTTAATTTTGAACATACTGGTAAGTTATATTATTGAGGTGATCTTTTAATTTAAAAGTTATATAATATTATTAATATTTGTCATTAATCAAATTTTACATTTGTATATGCATGAACAAATAAAGGTGTTGATGGTCATACTGTTCTACGCTTTGTATCAGACATATTCACTGACACAATTTACCGTTTTGCGGATTCTATTGTTGGAAATAGTTCTCGCAGCAACAAACATCATAATGGTAAAACCTCTAATATTGACACAACACCAAAAAAACTTGAATGGACATTGACTTCTGAAGTTCGTACTGGAATTAGATTTGCTGAAACAAGATTAAGTGATCTTATATTACAAAATGAAGTTAAAGTATTAAAGTATGATGGATATGGAAAAAGCTTCATTACAAGTTGTCATATGAGTCCTGATGGTTTTGTTCAGGTAATAATTACTACCTAATAATTATTTTTATTTGTAATAAATTAAGATATTTATTGCTAAAAATTTTTTTCATTAAATTGTATTCAGATGGCCTTTCAAGCTGCTTATTATGGCATGTATGGTTTGATTGAGACTACATATGAACCTGCTATGACTAAAGCATTTCTTCATGGTCGTACTGAAGCCATTCGTTCAGTCACTACTGATTCTGTTGACTTTGTAAAACTTTGGTGGACTGAAGCTTCTACTACTGAAAAAATTAAGGCACTTCGAAAAGCCATTGATTCTCATGTAAAATTGACAAAAAAGTGTTCACAAGGGCTTGGTCAAGATAGGCATTTGTATGCACTTGAATGTGTTTGGCAAAGAGAATCCAATGCTTCTGATGTAGGAAGTGAAAAATTGCCTGCCATATTTAAAGATAATGGCTGGCAAGTGCTTAATCATACAGTGATTAGTACAAGTAATTGTGGTAATCCAGCTTTAAGATTGTTTGGATTTGGTCCTGTAGTGGCAGATGGATTTGGTATTGGATATATTATTAAAGATGACAAAATTGCAGTTAGTAAAAATTTTTATAATAATTATTATTAAGATTTTTTTTTTGAAAATTTATTCTAAGCCTGTATAATTTTTGTCATTTAGTTTTGTGCAGCTTCTAAGCATAGGCAAACACGTAGATTCCTTGATACATTAGAAAATTATCTTAATGATGTACAGTGTTTGCTTTTAAATGAAAGACGTATTCCTAATTACAAAAATGAAGAGAATGTTAGTATGCTTTCAGGTTATGGCTATTTTGATGCTGGTGGAGTTGATCAATTAATTGAAGATCGATTAGTAGAAAAAAAAGAAGAATTGAATAGAGTTGGGAGGGAATTGAAATTAATTGATTATTAAAGTTGGTTATTGTATAATTGATAGTAATCATAAATTAACTCTACATAACAATATTTATAAAATTTAATATATTTTTCTCATCATTCATTTTTTTTCATCAAAGTATTTTTTATTGGAAACTATATTAATAAAATAAATAAAAAGATTATTTATATTTATTAATAATTTTACAAATACAAAATTGCCAAAAATGAAATAGAATAAGTTATTGGGCTTATCTTATTATTGCCTTTAGCACTACATATTCATATACATATTATTTATGGGAATAATAAGAAATGTTTTTCTGTAAAATATTGGGGTGTGCAGAAACACATATACGGGGCATACTGCAACAAAACCCAACAAAGTGAACCTGAAGATTTCAGGGATCAAAAGTAGCAATCACCAACATAATCCCTTGTTCTCTTTCCTTTCCAAATTGTATACAATTGTGTATATATATTGTCCAGTAAAGAGTTTTGTAAAGCTGGATGTCTTTCATCAGGAAATTAATAAAACCAAAAATAATTAATGTCCAAATAATTAAATGATTTAATACAGCACCATGCCCAACCACTCATGTCTTACTCATCAAGTTTGCCTGAACACAGACTTTTCATCCATTCTTAATTTTAAATAATTTTTAAATGCAATCACTGGTTTTTAGTTCAGTTATTCACTACCAACCAATGTTATGTACCAAATACATACAATGTTGTTAGTATGCAAAATTTATATACACAAATGCTAGCATCAAAAGAAATATATTTAAAAATTTAGCAATAATTTGTTATTGGTGTGTTTCTAGTAATACATGTATAATAAAATGAAAAAATCTAAATACAATAACATTAAAAAAAAATCATCTGCATCTATTGCATCTATTGGTTGATTGTCATTTTTTCTTCTTTTCACTAATATATTTAGATAAAATATTCAAGTCAATTGAGATGAAAAAGGTTTTTATTATAAGTAACAATAATGTTGTCATTATCATTACCTTTTTCATCTGATCCAGCATTTTCTTCTTCATCATCAACAATTGTTTTAACTATCTTTTAAATATGAAGAAGCTTTCTTTTGTTGTTAGTTTTACTTGAAGATTTCATTTCATCAGATAATTCATTTTCACAGTCATAATTATTTAATGAATCATCCTGTAAAATTTTATCTCATGCATATCCAGATCTTCCAACCAAACATTTTTTGATTTCTCCTTTACCTAAATTTCATTAATTAATAAAGCAATCAATCTTTTTACAACTTACATGCTAAATAAATTTTTTAATATACACATACCTCTTGTATACTAAATTCAACAGAATTCATATTTATTAAATATCTATAACCACCATATTCTGACATTTCTTTTTTATATATCCTATCAAATTTTAGAGATTCAAATAACTAAGGCTCCAAACAGATCAGATCAAAGCCAGACCAGATCAGTCAAATCCTAATAAATTGCAATCTGTTTTGAATCAGATTAGATCAGATCTCAGATAAAAATTCTTAATTCATAATTTCTTTCATAATGAATTTTATTATTATTATATATACATAGTATCTCAGATCAGATCTCAGGCTCCAGATCAGATCAAATTCAATATTTAAAGAACCAGATCAGATCGGCTTAAACAGATTTCAGCTCATCTCATCTCAGATCAGATCAGATTTCTTCTAAATCTGTTCTGTTATGTTCTGTTCAAAGCCTTACCATTTCCTTTTCCATGTTGTTTTTATCAACATATTCTATAAAGTTAATGTCTTCTTATTAGCAAAACTTGATTTCATTTGCATCTTGTTCTAATTTTTTAATTAAGAGTATACATCCAAAATCATTTGGGATTATGGCATCCCAAATAGTGTTCCATGTCACAATGCAAAAAAGGAAACAAAATGGTCATAAAGATGGTAGCAACCATCATCAAAAGTTGCAGCCAGTGTCCTTAATCCCAAATGCACAAAGCGAATTTGGGCCAGCCTGCCAAAGAATTCCCAAACCCCAAACTGCCTCATACACCCATAGCATTCTGTCTCCCAACCAATAAGTGCCTAGGATTCGTGAAAGTGATCAGCAACCCTTTTGTTACACTATATGCTTATTGGTTAGGAAAGCGGGGCAGAAAGATTGATCTACATTTGGGATTTGGGATCCTTGATTTTTAATTTGGGCAGCACCTATAATTAAGAGCAACTAATAAAAGTAATTTTATATAAATCTTTTGGAACAATTTTGATTCATTTGAAAATTCAAATAATGTTTTGTTAATTTACTTTTCTTTTTATATGAAATTGAATTTGGACATAATATAATTCATTTAATATATTAATGGCTGTATTCACAAATTGGGTTGGATTTAAGGTTTTGGGTGAAACTCCTCCAGAAATCAATCAAAAGAGTTTCAACAGGTTGCACATTAATTGTTTATTAGAGTTTTGAGAAAGTTTCGCATTTGAGGGTTTTGTCAATCGTCAGAGTTTTGTCAAGGTATATACTAATTGTACATTAGAGTTTTGACAGTCACTAAGAGGTTTTGGCAAGCAACCTTAGTTGGATTGGATTATCCCTTAAATTATGTTCACAAATTTAAAGTAGGAACAATATAAACAATCTAATCCTAACCCAGGGATTATCCTAGAATAATCCTGGGATAATCTTCTGATCCTACATTTTTGTTGGATTATAATGAGGATTTGCAATTTGATTGATTAAATTCATCTATGTTTGTACTTTTTTTTTTAAAAAAAAAAATATGGACATTACTGACCTTATAAATAGCAATGAGATTCAAAACCTTTAAATAAAAATGAAAGTAAGGCTACTTGGCCAGAACTGCAGTTATGTGTTTGTTTATTTTTTTGTGTACCATTGATTTTTGAATATGATTAAGATCCAGGATTATCCAATCTAATACAAAATTAAATTTGTGAATACAGCCAATATCTTTTGTAGTATAGTGCAAGACACCTAGTTTTTACAACTTTCTGCACCATAATGACAGTTTTTGAGAAAAAATTTACAATCAAAAAATGCAATAAAATTTTTATTATCATGAGTTTGCAAAGATTGCCATGTGTAAATTTTATCCAGGTAATATGTACTTATAGATAATTAAGATATTATAATTATGTAGCAATTATATTAGAAAAAGTAAAGTTTTGTTCTCAGATTTTTCTTAACTGTTATCATGTAGTGATGGGCATAAAAATTATTTTGAAAAATGACCAAGTTATTAAGTACTTAATAACTCTATTGGTGGCTTATTAAGTGTTAAAAACACAAACGTGCAGATCTCTTATTGGTAGCAAAAATTATTTGAATCTGTTTAATCAAATATTAATTGATAAACAAGTTAAACAAGTTAATAATTAATTTAGTACTGTGCATAAAATTCAGTGTGCAGAGTGTTCATCCTAACCAAATTTGATAATTATTTTCCCAAATCTGCTGAATTTGGTTAGCACAGCACATCCCACATGCTGAATTCTATACACTGGGATTGATTGACAAAATGGATCTTTTGGATTAATAACTCTCACTCAGAGTGCAACAGTTAATAAGTGGTTAATAACTTGGAGTTATTAAGTGTAGGGTTAAAATTCCCATCACTATTATCATGTGATAAAAGATAAACCATACAAATTTCAAAAATTTCAATTCTTCCAATTTGTTGATTTTTAATATAAAAAAATTGTGTATATCACATCACCTTGGGGGTTAACATAGTAAATTTGTTAAACTTGTATAACTTTGTGACTTAATTCCTCCACAACAACATGTCATATCAACAAAATGAAGATGTAATTTTGAAGCTAAGACCTTTCTGTACAGTGTGTAACATAATAAGACACCACATAAAAATGGACTAATTTTATAAAAAGAAAATATTTCAAAAAAAATAAAGATGATATTTGATAGCTTTTGATCAGCTCTACAATCTATCATCAAGATAATAAAAAAATACTGCTTGGTTCAGGAGTCTTAAGCTTTTAAAAATCATGTGATTTTTATATGTTACATATAAAATTTTCCAAATTTGATACATATAATTTTGGCCCGATTTATGTTACACGTGCCTAAAATTTTGGTAAAATCACGTGTTACACGATATTAACAAACATTAGAGAGAAACGCGTTATAATTCAAATGAAATTTTATCTTTTTTAGCCCTTTTAATCCTTTTTAATTTTTTGAAAATAAACTGCCAAAAGGTAACATTGCGATTATATCTGAAAAGGTTTAAAAGAAAATATACCAAGAGCCTTTGGTTCTATTCATTACAAATAAGAAAATATGCATTAAGATCAATAAAATATATGGAGTGTTATAGGAAAGGCCTATCAGTTTTACAAGCAGAGTATGCTATGAAAAAGTATAAATCACATAGAAGAGTACCTGATAATACTATAGAAATAATGTATGAAAATATTGATCATGTGATTTGATTTTTTAACTGCATTTTTGTATATAATGAAAGTAAAAATTTTTCTTGAATTCGATGCATGTGGCGCAGTTATTTGATGGCTATGCACTGTACAGATTTTCCATATGCATAAAAATAATTATCCCTTAAACTGTCCACATTTTCGAATAAGGGAATTTCGAAAAATTTTATTGGCAAATTACAAAATTCCACCAATCAAATCGCACAATAAAAAATTTTATTATGAATATATCAATTTTTAAGGTAATGATCGACACGGGCATTGTAGACTTTTTACAGTTTTACAAAACCCATAATAATAATGGCCGAATTTCTATATATAGATCAATGTATAGAATCTCAAATATCATTTGTTAATTAGAAAGCGTGATGATCAGAAAAATTTTTTTATATAAAAAAATTTAATCGTACAAATTTGTACGATAGCCAATTTAAGGGATAATTTTATTGGTAGGGATGGGAATGGTTCGGTTCGGTTCGGTTCAGTTTGGTTTATAAACTGCCAGTTTGACTAGTGAACTGCACCAATTGACAGTTTACTGATCACAGTTTGAACCGCGGTTCAAACCCAAGTTTAACCACGGTTTTATAATTTTATTGGCCAAGTTTAAATTTAAGAATTTTATTTTTATAATTTTATTGGTCAAGTTAAATTTAAGAATTTTATTTTTATAATAAAATGAAAAAAATTATTTTTTTAAAAAAAACAAATTAATTTGTTCTAATAATCAAACCACTTTTAAACATCATTACTATCTTCTTCAGAAGTCCAGCTTTTTAAGGGTAGAGGATCTACATATTACAAAATCGAATATGAAAAATGTCCAAAAAAATTTCCCGTGACATATTAAAATAAAACGCGTCATATCTTTTATTATTCCTTTAGAATATATTGCTAAGAACTATAGTTTAACTTTATGTAAAAAAAAATAAAAGTTAGTATTAAAAAATAATGACTTATATTATTAACGAAGTTCAAATTCCTGGCGAATTCCTAGTAAAGTTAGCGAATTCCTAAGTTAAAATTTGCAAATGACTGTTAAAGCTATTTTAACCACAAGTAACTTCCATAAACACATAAATATCTATGCTAAATGCAATAATATTTTATTTTAACTTATTTGAAATCATGAATGTCTTATTAAGTTGCGAATGACTATAGTCGCGAATGTCTAATATTAATAATGTTATGTCGAGCTTATACTAATTCTAGTTTTATTTTATAAATATGTTTATTTAGTGACAGTAGAAAACAATAGTAATAGTAAAAAAAAGGAAAGGTATTATTTATTATAAGCAAATAAATATTTAAGTTCTATATTTTTTTTGATTTTTGTTTATTTATTGTAGGATTCCACAGTGGATACAATACATGCAAACTAACAATTCTTCTTTAGAAAAATTTAAAAGAGCAAATGGTGGATACATGCTTCGTGATATATCAAAATCACACAAGATTCTTAGTATTCATGCTGAATTACAAATAAATGTGGAGGATCATTCTAAAAATCCATATTATCATAATGTTACAAAAAGAGATATATCAACTGCTCCATTGGTTCCTTTACTTCCTGGACATTGTGTTATTGGAAAGTTTGGTGAGTTATATATAGTGCAAGACACCTAGTCCCACAACTTTTCATTGTCCTTGTAGATCCTTCTCTAACTCCAAAAATGGAAATGTAACACCAAAAAAATAAGCCGTAATTTTGAAGCTAAGACCTTTCTCTACAAAGTTACGATTTCATTTTGTTGATATGGGGCATGGACAATAGAAACGACCCAAACGTCAAAAATCATGATTTTGAGTTAATAACATTCCTATATGTAAT